AATGCAAGATACTCCACTTTGGCAGAAAAAATGAAATGCAAAGATACAGAATGGGGGACGACCTGGCTCGAGAGCAGTACGTGTGAAAAAGATCTTGGAGTCCTTGTGGACAACAAGTTAAACATGAGCCAACAATGTGATGTGGCGGCAAAAAAGCCAATGGGATTTTGGTCTGCATCAATAGGAGCATAGTGTCTAGATCTAGGGAAGTAATGCTCCCCACTCTATTCCGCTTTGGTTAGACCACACCTGGAATATTGTGTCCAATTCTGGGCACCACAATTCAAGAGAGAGATATTGACAAGCTGGAATGTGTCCAGAGGAGGGTGACTAAAATGATCAAGGGTCTGGAGAACAAGCCCTATGAGGAGCGGCTTAAGGAGCTGGGCATGTTTAGCCTGAAGAAGAGAAGGCTGAGAGGAGATATGATAGCCATGTATAAATATGTGAGAGGAAGTCACAGGGAGGAGGGAGCAAACTTGTTTTCTTCTTCCCTGGAGACAAGGATGCAATGGAGCAATGGCCTCAAACTACAAGAAAGGAGATTCCACCTGAACATGAGGAAGAACTTCCTGACTGTGAGAGCCGTTCAGCAGTGGAACTCTCTGCCCTGGAGTGTGGTGGAGGCTCCTTCTTTGGAAGCTTTTAAACAGGGACTGGATAGCCATCTGTCAGGCGTGATTTGAATGCAATATTCCTGCTTCTTGGCAGGGGGTTGGACTGGATGGCCCATGAGGTCTCTTCCAACTCTTTGATTCTATGATTCTATGAAAGAAAAGCAAAGAAAAAGTGCAAAGGATGCCACCCTGCCTGAGATCTTAAGCAGTCTGTTGCGCCGATTGGAGGTTTTGGTGTTCCAAAGATGGGGCAATCTTTTATTACAAAACCATGTGGTTTGAAATAAGGAACATCTGGAAACGTAGGGCTCAAGTTGCAAGAAGAAGAGGCCGCACTCTCAGAGCGTTCTTTTCATCAGGCAGGAATGGAAAACTAAACTAGTGAAAGGCTGTTTCACACACGAAGGGGTTTGGGAATGGGAAGGGGAAAGCGGGAAATGTTTGCCATCATGTGTGAACACAGTATGCTCCCCATGGAAAGAATGTGACTGTATTCTGCATGAACAAGAACGGTTTTGGCCATCAAACTGGAACCCATGATACTGTCTTCTCTTCCAAAGGTTGAAATGCCCTTGGGGGATCCTTGACTCATCATCTGGATAAATATGATACTTGCCGTGCCAAAGCTAGATGCCTTCCATTGCTGTTTGTATCCTGCACAATCCATTTGTATATTTACTCACACAGATCCAAGGCAGGCTCTGACATTAGATGGTGGGGGATAGAGCATCTTTGTCCTGTCTTCCTAAAATGTCTCCAACCTCTGCTTCATGTCCTGTCCTTTTGGACAGGAGAATTCAGGCTTAGCTTCTCACTTATGCAGCGTTGCCTGAACTGAACTTAAGGTAAACAAGTGAAATGTCCCTGCTGAATGAAGAGGAAATTATTGTACAAATGGTATTGTACACCCTGCCAATTAGCATACTACTATAAAAAGGGGAGTAGTCAGTGCTGGCATGGATGCCATCAGAAAGAGCGGTTTATGCACTTGATGTGAGAATGTGAATATGTACAATATTTTTGGCAGACTATACAAAATGAGTCAAATCAAATGCTAGGAAATGAGTGGGTCATAACAAAGAAAATAGCAGTATTAGGGAAAAGACAGGAAACGGGAAATAAAAGGGAAATAAAAGAAGCAATAATAGAATGTGCACAAGCAGTAATAGTATTAGGGTGGAAAGATAAATCAAAATGGACAATAAATAAATGGTACCAATATATGGTGGAGCAAATGGAATTTGAAACTATGAATATGGAATTAAATGATTTGAAAATTAAGGAAAATAGAATGAGAGAAATGGAAGAAAGATGGACAAGGATAAAGAACTATATTATGAATCATTCTGGAGATCAAGTCATAAGAAATAAGATACACATGTTATATAGCATACAGGATGGAAATGTATAAAGATATAATGATTGTCTCAAAAGAATGAAAATGTAAAAGAAAACAATCCTTGTGTTGGTGGTGGGAATTGTAAATGATTTGTGTGTGCACAGTATGTGTGTGTGTGTTTTTTTTTTTGTATTGTTAAAATAAAATTTTTAAAAAAGAGATGTTCCTGCTGATTTCTGGCATATTTTAGATATCCAAAAACTGCCAACACATCCCCCCAATCTTTCTGCATTTTTTATTATAGTTATGACTATAGCTCCCTTTACTATTATTTCAGTCATTCTCAGAATTCTTAATTATTTGTCAATAAGACAAAAAGGGAATAATGCATTTGAGATGAATGGAGACAAATAATTTTATTTTCTGGACTGCAGTGTTGTGCCCCAGGCCTGGAAACACCTATGACTGCCTATGACCACACACGAGTCCAGGAATATAAGCAAACATTTTATGGTAAAAACCATATAAAATCAGGAATAGGAAAGGAAGGTTTTGCAACAGATGATAACCAAACAATAATCCAAATGTCTCATAAAGTTTCAGAGGTGGCAAAGTCCAAGAACAGCCAGGAAACACAGATACAGCATAAGTCCATAATCCAGAAGGTATAACTAGTAACACTTGAACAGGAGTACATTAACTGGAACACAGAAAATGTCCAGGATACATTAAATCCAAAACCAAAGCTAGACTTGATCCAGGAATAAGATTTAGTTTCTCACTCTTACGCAGCGTTGCCTGAACTGACCTTAATGGGTGTCTACTAAACATGTTTTTAGTAGGTAAAGGTAAAGATTGTCCCCTGACATTATGTCCAGTCATGTCCGACTCTGGGGTGTGGTGCTCATCTCCATTTCTAAGCCGAAGAGCCGACGTTGTCCATAGACACCTCCAAGGTAATGTGGCCAGCATGACTGCATGGAGCACCGTTACCTTCCCACCGGAGCAGTATGTATCGATCTACTCACATTTGCATGTTTTCGAACTGCTAGGTTGGCAGAAGCTAGGGCTGACAGCAGAAACTCATGCCACTCCCCAGAATCGAACCTGCGACCTTTCGGTCAACAAGCTCAGCAGCTCAGCACTTTAACCCACCGCGCCACCGGGTTTAGTAGACACCCATTAAATCATTCTGCTTCCTGTGAATTTCTTTCACAACTTTCCTACATAATCTCTCTGAATGACGCAATCAATTTTTGGCTTTGATGCGTAAACGAAGAATTTTGTTTATCTCCGTCGCTGCAGGTAGATTCCTCTAGGAGCCCTCCTTACCACTCAGCTCTTCACTCAGATCCTTATCTGCTGTAGCTACTTCTTACTCCCCTGAAAGCCCTTGAGGCCCTGCACTTTCCGAGCAGAGAGAACTATCTGTTCCCAGACTTGAGGACCCATCACTTTATGCCACAGGAAAGCTCACAATCCTCTCTAAATCATCAGTTAAACCATCAGCCTCTGGTGACTGATCTACAACATCCAGTTCATTTCATCAGTTGCAAGAAAATTATTTTTCTTGGTTAGTTTCAAAAGTGCAACAGGATGACTTTGTGCTTCTTTGTGCAGAAAACAGGCTAACGTGACTATGTCTTCCAATGGCTTGCTAACGTTACTCGTTCGGATTTTAAAAACTAGGCAGACAAAGAGACGAGGCGGATGCAGGTAATCAAGTAAACTATATATTAAAAAATGTGATTCTGACTTCTGCTTCCAATAAATGAAATCTTTATAGTAAAAGAAATCCATCCTCTGACTCCTCTTCCGAAATATAGGCCGGGGAGCGGAAATCCTTGCTCAAGTCTGATTTATTTTCTACATATACCAATTTGATTTATTAGCTAGAGTCTGGCTGGGGGGAAAGGAGCTCACCGAGGAGCATTCTGTGTTTTTCTCTAAGAGTCAGAACCTTTTGTAAGCATGAGTACATCAGTCAGTTCCATCCTTTGGAAAATACGTTTTTGTCTGTTTCTGCATCTCCTACATTTATTCGTACTTACTGCTTATTCACCTGAAGATACCTTTGTGCTCCTTCCTGAGATAACACAAGCACCACCCACATTATCCACAAAAAATATCCCCTCACACTTGTTTAGATCATTCAAAAATGGAAGGTAAACAGGTATTAATACACACAGAGGAAGCGAGGCAAAAATGTTTGCAAATCTTCAATGGAAACACTGCCTAGAAGTCTAGGCGAGTGTATTATGAGAGGTGCAGCTCACCAACAACGTATTTTGGGGTGCCATAATCTTGAATGGATAATTAACAACTATTAACTTTGCAGAGGAAAGCTGCAAAAATTGTCTTGTTGATGTGCCCACTTTTTGCAACCGCCAAGTTTTCTAGGAGATTCCGAACTGTCTGTGCAGGCGCAGGAATTACAAAATGTGCGATTCACAGGGACCACGATGGGGAAACTACATTGTTTAGCCAGTACTTCCGTCAGGAAGTAGCAGCCTGTAATGAAAGGACCAAGGCATTGACATCCTCTGTTTGAATATCAGCCAGCACGCCAACGCCTCAAATCAATAGCTTCCTATACTTGCAGGAACACTTCAGCAAGTGAGAGTCCAAAAATGGCAGGCTAAAACCTGGAATCTCAACCCATGGCTGAGACCGGATGAGAAACTCCCTCCTGGGCACACAAAAGACTGAGTGACTTGGAAGGCACTCTGGCACCATGAGATGCAGGGCCGATCTTAGAAATGGGGTTACAAAGTGGAGTCTGCGACATGCAAGTGTGGAGAAGACCAAACGACAGGTCAATGACTATAATGCAGTCTGAGCCCGGCCACATGCACAACGGAGAACCTTCTCATGGTGACACCAGAGGCGTTCCAAGTGGGCAACTTATGGTCAAAGGACATTTAGTGTCATGCCACTTTGTGGTTTTTCTATACATTATAACTGTCTTCTTAATTCACTTCTGACATGATAAATATAAAACAAATCTGGAAGTTCAGTATCCAACACCGTTCCGGAGTCCTTACCTCATCATCCTTGTACCAGGAGAGATTCTCTGCCGTTAAAACAAACCAGTATTCTTTCGAGCCGCCCTTCATGATGCCGATATTGTTGATCGTGAGCCATCCCTTGCGGATCACCTATGTTTTCAAAAGACAGATCAGTTACATACACTGTCATATGACTCAGGAGACGAGTAGAGAGAGAATGACACCACACACAGTCACAGCAGTAGCACATCACACAGTTTCTTGGCTCACCTCCAGGAAGGATGAACCTAAGCTGACCTGTTCAGATTCACGGGAAACCAAGAGGAAAACCCGGCAGCAAATGCCAAGGACCATGCAAGAACCCATCTAACTGGGCACACATAAACTTTGCCCAGAACACATGGTGAAAAACCCTTCAGAGCTGCAATGAAGAGTATCAAACCCTGTAGTTCTGTTGCCACCGGTGGAAAATCTGGATGAGGGTGAACAAATTGAAGTTGAGTCCAGACAAGACAGAGCTACTCCTGGTCAGTTGCAAGGCCGAACAGGGCATAGGGTTACAGCCTGTGTTAGACGGGGTTACATTCCACCCGAAGACGCAGGTTCGCAGTTTGGGAGTGATCCTGGACTCACCGCTGAGCCTGGAGGCCCATAGCCAGGATTTTGATTCGAGGCCCGTAGCAAGGATTTTGATTCGGAGGTGGGGGGGCTGAGTCTGAGTGAAAGAGGGTCTACCCTAGCCAGACAAGACAGAGGTCCTACTGGTCAGTCATAAGGCCGAACAGGGTATAGGGTTACAGCCTGTGTTAGACGGGGTTACACCCCCCCTGAAGACGCAGGTTCGCAGCTTGGGAGTGATCCTGGACTCATCGCTGAGCCTGGAACCCCAGGTCTCAGCGGTGGCCGGGAGAGCTTTCGCACAATTAAAAGTGCTGAGCTGGTACCTTGGGAAGTCTGATTGTTCAACCAAAGTGTGTGGGAGTTATGCTTGAGGCATCTACCCTACGCATAACTTTGTATCATTCATCCCAATACCCCATTTGATATATTGAGTAATGTTGATTTTTTATAGCACACTTCAGGAGATGAATTTAATTACTAATTTATCCGTGTTTAATATAATGTTCCAAGTATATGCTTGCCTTTTTCGTTCTTCGCAGACGACCCGGAGAACATTTTTGGGCGGTGTGTTTTCTAGTGATCATGAGCCTCCCTATCCCCCCCCCCCCCCGGCCTCAATTGTCTGGTTGATACTGACATGATAAATAAAATAAATAAATAGGAATTTATTCATGTTTTTTTTTTTCAAATTATAATCTGGCCCTCCAACAGTTTGAGGAACTATGACCTGGCCCTCTGTTTAAAAAGTGTGAGGACCCCTGCCCTAAACGGTTCTGGCCCAGACTACCTGTCCGAACATGTGTCCTGGTACGAAACTTAAGATCATCTGGAGAAGCCCTGCTCTCAATCTCACCGCCATCGCAAAGGCAACTGGTGGGAATGAGGGACAGGGCCTTCTCAGCAGTGGCCCCCCTGCCTGTGGAACGCTCTCCTCAGAGACATCAAATTTGCCACCTCCCTCCTGTCTTTTAGAAGGCAAATCAAGACCTGGCTATGGGACCAAGCGTTCGATCAGTGAGCAGCAAGACTTAAGCAACTTATGGCAATGATTTGACCCGGACTTAATTTTGGATTCTGATTTTTAATAGGGGTGTGTTAATCAATTGTTTTAATTACTGTTTTAATATTTTTAATGTACTCGTTTTATGATGATGGCACCGTATGGTGCTTCTGTGAGGCTGCCCTGAGTCCCCCCGCGGGGTAGAAATATAGGAAATCAATCAGTCAATCAAACCATAGCAATCAACAGACGTCTAAAGTCAGAAGGAAGACAACACTATTCAATATGGTCACACATTTTCCTAAGAACACAAGGTCACTATTACAAACATGATGGAAGAGAAGAGTCAATGTCCAAATCAGAGGAAATGTTGACATTGGTTGACCCTTGCCTCCCGAAGATACTCAGTGATGTAGATAAACAGAGGTGGATGCGTTCTGCAATTTGGCACAGCTGCAGAGAAAGGGCAAACCTTGGTAGTGGGCACAGGTCTTCAGTATCCGTTTTATTAAAGCACGTTTTTAGTCCTTTAGAAATACGATGGCCATTGTTAAGTGAAATCTCGGTTGCTTTCGCCATATGATTCAGCCCAGGTCTCTCTGCGGAATCAATTATGCAAAGATATGCAGCTCTGCTGACGATAAATATTTCATATGGATTGCAGAATCTTTTACTTTGTGAAAATGCAAAGCACACACTGCCTTGTTTAGACATCACTGTGTAACAAAGACAGAATCAATCAAAAAAAATTTAGGGGGAGAGAGAAATGCAGACAGACAACAAACAAAAGAAGTTATTTTGCTTTTAAAGCACAATGAGAGGCTGGAAACAAAGGTGCATCTGGAATTCATCTCCTGAATGTGAGATGGGAATGGTTGCGAGACAACAAATGAGAGAGCAGGATCTGTGTACAGTTCGTTACCAAAGGCAAATGAGAAACCTATACTGAACGACATGTTAGCGCAAAATCTCTACATCCCATGAAGACACCAAGCAGAGTGTAAAACTTTGCAACACTTCTAAACAGCTAATGGGCCTGTTTTAATATTGGTATATTGGTTTATTTTGAACTAGCCGTCCCCTGCCATGCATTGCTGTGGCCCAGTCTGTGTATATGTGTTTTGTGTGTGTATATATCTATATAAATAAAAATATAATGGTCGTTTGTGGGATTAACATAACTCAAAAACAACTGGACGAATCGACACCAAATTTGGACACAATACACAATACACCTATCAGGCCAACGAGTGACCATCACTCATAAAAACACCAAAAAATCACAATGGAAGGGACTTGAAAAGCCAAAGAATTTAAAAAATCCATTACAATGCATGTGCATAACCATATATATATATATATATATATATATATATATATACACACACACACACACGCAAACACACATATATACACAAAAACACTAATATATACACACACAAAGCATGTATACACACTGGGCCACAGCAACGTGTGCCAGGGGACGACTAGTATCTATATAAATAAAAATGTAATGTTCGTTTGTGGGATTAACATAACTCAAAAACTACTGGACAAATTGACACCAAATTTGGACACAACACACCTCCCAGGCCAATGAGTGACTCATAAAAACACTGAAAAACACAGCAGAAGAGACTTAAAAAGCCAAAAAACTAAATATACATTACCACGCATGCACAAAACCACACATATATATGCAAACACATATACACAAATATATACACACACAAAACACATATACACAGACTGGGCCACAGCAACACATGGCAGGGGACGTAGTTGTGTATATATTTGTGTATATGTGTGTTTGGGTATACATGTGGTTTTGCGCATGCGTTGTAATGTATTTTTTATTTTTTGGCTTTTTGAGTCCCTATGTTTTATGAGTGATGGTCAGTTGTTGCCCTGAGAGGTGTATTGTGTCCAAATTTGGTGTCAATTCGTCCAGTGGTTTTTGAGTTATGTTAACCCCACAAATGAACATTACATTTTTATTTATATAGACTAGCCGCCCCCTGCCACGCAGTTTTTGTGTATGTGTGTGTATATATGTTTGTGTATATGTGTATATATGTGTGTTTGTGTATATATGTGGTTTTGTGCATACGTTGCAATGCTTTTTTTGTTTTTTGGCTTTTTAAGTCTCATCTGCTGGGTTTCTAAGTATTATTATGAGTGATGGTCACTCGTTGGACTGATAGGTGTATTGTGTCCAAATTTGGTGTCAACTCATCCAGTGGTTTTTGAGTTATGTTAATCCCACAAATGAACATTACATTTTTATTTATATAGATTGTATTGTAATATTTCCAACATTTGTCGCTTTGAGTCTCCTTATGAAAGACAAAGTGGGATATAAAAAACATAATAATCATCCAAATTGCTCCTTTTGGCTTCTTTGCTGTACCAGAGGGTAGACCATATAGAATAAGCATGGGCAAACTTCGACCTTCTGGGTGTTTTGGACTACAACTCCCACAATTCCCAACAGTCGGTAGATTGTTAGGAATTGTAGAAGTCCAAAACACCTGGAAGGTCAAAGTTTGCCCATGCTCGATATAGAGGGAAGGGGGACTTCCGAGGGGTCCCCAAGAAGTAATAATGGGTAAAGGGAGGCAAAGGAAAGAGAGACCATTAATTCAGCCTAGGGAATGGAAGAGAGTGCTTGTAATTCCAAAATGGTCTCCTGATTTGCACCACTCAGATTAAGGGTGGTGCTGTTGAACGCCAGGTCTGTGAACAGAAAAAAACAACAATCATGCAGTGTTTAATCCTGGATGAGTCTGCAGACCTGGCGTGCATAACGGAGACCTGGTTGGATGAGGCTGGGGGTGAATCTCTCCCAACTTTGTCCATCAGGTCACTCCATGCAGCACCAAACTAGATCCGAAGGGCGAGGAGGTGGGGTCACGGTGGCCTATTGGAATTCCATCTCCTTGACCAGATGCCTCATCCCACAGTTTTTGTTTCTTTGTATAGTGTTTTAATTACATTACTTCATATTTATATGTTATTGATTTATATATGTTATGTATTGCTTTTATATGTATGTTCGGCACTGAATCTTGTACACTGCTGTAAGTCCCTCCAGGAGTAAGAAGAGATGTACAGAAATGTTGTAAATAAATAGTATATAAATACGTTGTGAAATATCCCAAGCTCAAGGGAGTGAAACTTGCTACAATGGAAGAACACATTGACCACTGTTAGCCCACCAAATTTCAGAATGTTTCACTTATCCATGAATTTTTGGCAAATTTTCAAAGTTCCTGTAAGAACCTTTTTTTTAATAATAAAGAAAATATGTTCCTCCTTTGAAAGTGTTATTTCCTATTTAATTGTGTGGTCTTTACTTTGAAAGTAAATTGGTGCTTTTTGATGCTGATGCAGTCTGGGAAATGTAGTTCAGGGCAGGGCCTTTTGAATTCTCTGGCATAGGGCTCCTCCCTTCCCAAACTACATTTCCCAGAGTTCTGTGCTGTTCCCAGAATGCACTGCTCCCTTTTGCCCGCTGCTAATGTTAAGA